AAACTTGAGTCACACCATTTGTTTTCTAGGATTGCTACGCTATTACCAGATGCCAAGATGACTCCGGCGGATGTGGCTGAGCATTTGATGCCGAAAACTGCAAGAGGGGATGCTGAAATCTACTTGGAAAGTCTGATTAAAGGGCTTGAATTGGCTAAAGAGAAGGAAAGATTGAAAGCTATGGAAGAAGGGAAAGAGAAGGAATCGAGTGCGAAGGAAGAAGAAATTGCAGAAATGGAGGAGAATTCAGGTAGATGAGGGAAAGCAGAGGAATGGCATGGATTCTATTACGTAGATTCTGGATTAGAAATGTAGAATATGTAGGAGTGGACAACCATGATTTTGTCCTCTTTTATAAAAGCAAATTATTTTTCCGTTTTTAGGTTGGGCCTATTGTTTTTATATTGGTCTAGAAGTGAATCCATTTTAGGCTGAAAAACTACTTCACAATAAATCTAAAACTTTGGTGATAGCATGACATAATAATCTTTTTTTTTATCATTAAAATTTGAAATTTGATCCTTTTTTAATCTCTCTATTTTTTTTTAACATATTTGCAAGGGATGGGTTTCAAACCCAACCCGCGGAAGGGGGAATGCATCGGGTGACTATTGCCACTAGGCCTCAAGGGCCAGGTGCTTTTTAATCTCTCCATTAGTTAAGTGATAGCATGACATAATAATTTGTTAAATTTTTTTTTTCTTTTTAATGGTGACGTGTGATTACACTTTGCAAAATTGATAAATTGGTAATAAAACTTATTTTCCATGTAATCAACAGGTTTTAAAATAATTAAAAAAATATATCATCATTTTCCCTTTGTCTTTTCATTTCTCATTTGTGTCCTCATCTTGCTCCTAAGCCCAAATCCCTGATCCTCTCTACCTTTGCCTAAACCTAATCCCCTCTCATCCATTGATTTCTTCTTTGCCAATCCTTCCTTTATCAAAACCCTCAAATCTTCGCACCAATCTTCATCTCAATTAAAGCTCAAATCTTCACTAATTTACCCCCATTTTCTTCCCCCTTTTGTCTTACCCTTTCCTTCCTCCTGTCGTCATTTTTTTTTTTTTTTTTTTTACCTTTGCCTTCTAGAAATTAGATCTAGAAAGGCAAACCTAGGTGCCTGGGTTCGTTGGTTCATTGCGAACCCAAGCGTTGGGGTTCGTCGCGAACCTAGGCTCGCATGTTGCTGTGTTGCTGTGTTTCCTTGCATCTTTTCTTCTGTTCTTTTTTGCTTCACCATTCTTGGCTTGAGTACTGCATCTAAGATTTTTTGTGTGTTAATTTTGGATTTCATGATTCAGTCATCGAAATTGGTAGAGGGGAGGCGATATTGCTTAAGATTATAGGAAGAAATTTCATCTGAAATTGAAATGTGTCGAGGAATGAGGAGAAAAGAATTGCTGTGAAAAATTAATTTTGGAGAAGATGGAAAGAACAAAATTTCAACGGGAAAATTATTAAATTTTTATCTAATTTATGTTTGAAAAGTAAAAAAATTAAATTAAAACCATTAAATTTGATTAAAAGAAATAAATAATTAAATATTACATATTAAATGAGTCTAATAAAATTATTACAATAATATAATATTTTATCTAATTTATGTTTAAACAGTAAAAAAAATAAATTAAAATTATTAAATTTGATTAAAAAAATAAATAATTAAATATTACATATTAAATGAGTCTCCCTCGTAAATTTTAACGAAACTGCATTTTCAAAACTTAAACTCAAGATTTTTGATTAAATTGAAAGAGTTTCAGTCAACTCATCTACCCACTTATTATGGGTGTGAAAACAAATTAAGACACGTCCGAATCCGAGAAAAATGATTTTGGGATTTGTACACGTAACGTCAGGGACTTTTTTTACAACATCATTATTTTCCAATATCATTTCTTGTCAGAAGGCACGTTTTTCTTTTTTAATAAGTATAAATATGAGGGAGGAAGAATTTATATCCAACATTTAAAATTAAGAGTATATTTTCTATAAAAATTTATAGTCAATTGGGTCTTCTAAACTAAATGCTTGTTAAACGGTCCGTTTGAAGTAAGGGTATTCAATTTTTCTAAAGGTCAATATTCCAAGAAATGAAAGCACTTAATTTGCATTAACTTTTTTTAATTACTTTGACTATAAATTGGATTAGGGGTGTTCGCGGTGTGATTTGGTTCGGATTTTAACATTTTTTAATCCAATCCAATTTAATCGGTTAGTAAAATTTTTAAATCAATCCAATCCACTATTATATGATAACCAAACCAATCCAATTTAAATTGGTCGGTGTGGTTTGGTCGAATTGATCGGTTTTTAACACTATTAAATATATAAGATAATGTAAATAAATTTAACATTAAGTAAAAAACATAAATATAAAATACGTTAATATCCAAATAAATAGAAACATAATTAAAAAAATACAAATTATAAACAAATTCTTATACTTTTTTACAATTGTAAAAATTGAAAAGATTTAGAAATTATAAACAAATTCTTAAATTTTTATCTTGATCTCCAAGAATACCCAAAAGAGAGCTGCCACCAGCCCCCCAAGCTCTTTTAATTCTGAATTTGGATGGGTATTTATAAGGTTTTATAAACCCTAATTGAAATAAAAGTAGGATTTGAAACAGAATAAGAAACTTGAATGTTGGATGCTGAACGTATAGTGCTGATACTCTGAATTACGTGTCGACACAAAACAGGAAACAGAAAGTTTGATTCTGGACTATTAACTCATGGTGTCGACACCCATATTATGTATTTAAGAATAAACCCAGCAAAATGAAGACGATAACTTTGGCAAGTGCACATCACTCAAGAAGGTAGGGTTTTAAAAATAAAGTTGCAACTCACTTGTAAAGATAGAATTGTAGGGGAATTTGAAATTCAGAAT